AAACAGCACATTTAAACTCCCTTTCTTCTATATTGCCATTACATTAATAAACGTTCATTTTCGCATGTTATTAGTTTTACGCCCTTCTTTATTAATACCACTGTCGGTAGTCGTTTCATCAGTGACATAACACTTCATATTTGTTATTTTCTATTTCGTTATAGTATTCACATGATTCTCACCCAACTTGAGTATAAGTCATCAGTACATTATTATTTGACCCATCCGTCGTAAACACACATTCATAGCCCAATAAATGTATATAAATTACTATGTGACTATCTGAGATAGCAGTAGTTTGGTAGACTAGTATTTGTACTGGGTGATGATTGAAGGTGAGATGAAAATCTGGACCACGGTCGGATTCGAACCAGCGACCACTGGGTTACCGGCCCGGTATTCTACCAACTTAGCTACGAGGTCCGACTGTACAAATACTAGTCTGCCAAACTACGACTATCTCAGATAGTCAAATCATAATCAATATGATTCAGTTAGACTCGGATTGGGATGATAAGTCTTGACTGGGCAATCAATGTGAACACGACCAAGTGATAGTAACGCGTCATGAATTCACATAGTAGTCACGCAAAAGCCTTGGTGATTGGAGAGAAATAAAAATGTGGCTAGCAGTCGCACCTTGTAGCTCAGTTGGTAGAGCACCGGACTGGAAACCCCGATGGTCGCTAGTTCGAATCCGACCGTGGTCCAGATTTTCATCTCACCTTCAATCATCAACCAGCATAAATGTATATAAATGAATCATTATCTGTAGATTTTGTCTCCTCATTTCGTAATTGTCCTGTCAATATTGACTTCATTGCACAACTAATACACTAGACTGATTACCATTCCACTATTCCATTCGATTTGATTGATCTCCATTCCCCCATAACACTGACTGTTTCAATATCATAATAACTGTACATCATGCCTTATTCTAGCTATTGTATTTCACTAATTCTCATGGACTTATAACTGTAGAGTCTGAAGAAGTTATTGAAAACAGTTGAGTTTTGCATTCATTCGTAAACTATGTTAAAACGACAATACTCTAAACTTGTATTGCAATTCTCTGTCGCCTTGTCTCCATTTGTTCTTACGTAATTGGTTTTAATATTTGATCAACGTGACATAGTGATTCATCCTTCTTACTCAATATCTTGTTACGCAACTCTGACTGCTACAGTATTGAGCTATGCCATTTTCATAGTTCCTAATCTAATCTCTGTGATCACTTATCAGCCTGTTAATATTGCAACGCAGCTACCTATTTAAGCTTTCCACTTAGAATTACTGTAAGAAATCAACTGTAATTTCAAATAACATAAGATAATCACAAGTGTAGTTGAGTTTTGTCACAATACTACACAGATTAGCATCTTCAAATAGAGGTCATGTAATCCTATTTAAGTATCATGGTTTTGAATGACACAGATATATTTGCAAATACTACGCGTTTAAGATAAAAAAAAAACTGTCTGGGTCATATAATCATTCGTAAACTAGATAAGTGTAAACAAATTTATCAAATAAGTATATCAATTGTCCAAGGTCAAGATTATCAAATCATGTATATGGATTATATGTTCGTTTCGCGATGCAGTGATCACAGTAACTACCAAATACATATTTGGCTCTCGTGATTCAATACCCTAGTGGAAAGATGCTTTGGTGTCCGAAGTGATGGGTTCCGAGCTCGAGTCCCAGTAGGAACACCACCACTCACTGAGATGCAGGTACATCCAGTTGACGAGTACCTAATAGGACGAAACGTGCATCTTAAAATTCACTGATAGCTACCATCAATCAAATGATATCAAAGTGAGACTTGAAGCAATACTGAAGCTTGTGTTCAAGTAGCCCATACATCGAGAGGGAACTACAACCATCAATAAACTATACATAATTAAGTCTTAGAATTTTCGAGAGACGTAGTCTTTCAAGGATAAGACATGAAAAAACTAAGGATTTTCATTTGTATATCATTTATCATAAGGCAATTACTAAGTGATAGAGGATGTGCAATGCAGTAATAGCTCAGAAGTGATACCACCGTTTACTACCACCGTAACAACTCATAGTACATTGTGTTGGAAATAGGATTGACTCATTCAGACAGGAGAATCAGAGTAATGCGGCATTAGCTTCTACATGTGAGGGATAACTTCTTATCGATGACACTCAATGAGCACAGAAGTTAAATTCACAATTCCCAATCAACTGGTTCCAATTACTGGTGAAACTATTCGACATAGTCATAGTTTCCTAGATTGGTCGTAATGATATAGGGTAATGATTGAAGATGAGAGGAAAGTTTAGGTTGTGACAAGAGTTTGGTTGTTTTGCGTTCCTTGAGCTGGGTTGTTTAATCGTGAAGCTTTCATTGTCTTTCTGTCTAAACAACATCATCAGCAATAACTTCAGTATGAAGTGGGCTGCAATATCCTTTCGTGAGTGATTTAGTGGCTTGCCCTGACCAACTGGTTTGTGATTGGTTGTTTCCTTGATAGTTGTGTCATTGACTACATAGATTTTCCTCTTAGCTGTTCCTCTGCCTGACCTCTCTAACCTTTCTGTTGTTTATCATTTTTATCATTGGGTCTGTCTATACATCTATTGATTGATAACAGACCTGAATGCCAAGCTTCTAGAAATTCTCTGATATTCTCTATGTTACCTCTGTTCTACGTTGGCAAGATTGAATTCATGTCCATAATTATCCACGTGCATTGATATAAGTGATCAAATGTCATGACGTTTAATAGCCAATTGGTGTGCATGTAAACAATGGCAAAGAGGATTTGGATCGGAGGCCTTCAGATAATTTAGGTCAAATATATCTGATGTAATATCATATCACATCAGTCATCTTTGTGTGACCATACTGAACATTTCAGTAGGAAAAACAAGATTGAAACATAGAGAAGAGACAATTCAGTGAAGAAAATTTTCTTTTTCGACGATATCATTTTCTAAAGCTGTACAATCGTATTTATATATATCATAAACATATACCAGTCTACTATAAAACAATAGAGTATAATTACATCATCAATCTAGCGCTAAAAAACATCTAGATCTACACAGCAGAGTTACGGTTCGATTTACACCCAATGGTACAAAAGCTTATACTGATTGGTCACGGGAGAGTAACTAATTTCCTGCAATGTGGCCACCAGTCAACTAACATCTACTTATGTGCACCGTGATGATGAGCCTCCAAATATGATCGATAGGATTCGGTCTGCACTTAGGACTAGACAACATAAAACTGGTTGCTCTCCTGTCCTACAGGAGGTCAATCGCGACCCGAATATCTCAGTGGTAAAGTCGCTGACTACAACACTTGGGTTCGAATCTCAGGCAGGACATCAGTTCCGTTGACGTTGCAGCCACACCTTGCTGACGAGTGCCAACAAGCACGAAACCCAGGTCTAGGGCTTCCTGCTGATTACCTCCAACCAACGCATACAAGCTTAAACCGTACTGTATATAATTACGTTTGAGCAAGAGGTCAGTGTAGTCTTAACTAACACAACAGACAAAATCAATGTAGAACCTTGTACACAAGTGCATCACCACGAGTCGCTACACTTCACGGTAGTATACAAAGAACAGGCGGATAGAAAAGGATAGACATCAAAGTAGACAAAGTTGTGTGAGATAAGTGCAAATATTCAAACTTTAGAGGACGTTAAAGAGTACATCTGTACCATCGTCCCCGATTTTCAGTCATGTAACCAATAGACCTCAACCACTGATTCCTTTCGTCTCGGGGACATCAGCCAGGTAGTCTACATCTCTACATCTACCAACACGGCTTAGACCAACACTCAGGGACTTCATTGAGTGGTGCCATGTCTTGGTCTCGCCACGCTGAGCCCTCTCCCAACGTAGTTCAGCTTACCCTAGTATGGCACGTCGAGCCAGGTAGTGATTCGACATGCGTTACACATATCCAAAATGCCTTAGCCAACGAAGGTTCATAATCGCATCAATCCACTGAATTGGTTGTCTTGCCTTCGTCTGACCTCAATATTGCTCACATCGTGATTCCACCAAATACGAGCAATGCTACGAAGGCTCCTATGGTCTAAACCTTGTAACCAATTCATGTATTCTACTCTTAGTGGCCATGTCTTACAACCGTACAACAGGACAGCAAGGACTGCAGAGCAGTATAATCGTCTTCTGATAGATTATCGGATATCCTTTGAGTAACATTTATAACTGAAACTTCTTCTTAACGTATCTTGTTAACGTTATTAGCATGTTTGTATTCTTTACTAAACCATATCGTTCTCTGCACGCAAACTTTACCTGTGAAAAGTGTGTCTGAGTTATTTTGTGATATGATATTTAAATGTTTAAGGTTGTTTGCAGCTGACGAGAAACCGTCGAAATAAAATGGTAAGATGTTATTCTGCTCTAATCGTCATTATCATTTGACTATCCGAGATAGCCGTAGTTTGACAGATTAGTATTTATACTGGGTCATGATTGAAGGTAAGATGAAACTTTGGACGGCGGCTGGATTCGAACCAGTGACCACCGGGTTTCTGGCCTGATGTTCGAGGTCCTCGTAGCTCAGTTGGTAGAGCATCGGGTCGGAAAGCCGGTAGCCACTGGTTCGAATCCGGCCGCGGTCCAAATTTTCATTTCACCTTCAATCATCACTCAGCATAAATACTAGTCGTTATTCATTCTCTATTCAAGTCCATAAAGCGGAATATTTGTATGAAATGTTGGAGAATTGGAAGCTGATAGATAACTAACACGTCTAACACAGTATGGTTGATTCTGGAATATATCACCTGGGGCTTTCAACCACTGATTCTTAATAACTTCACAACCTTAGCTTGGCAGCTCTTGATACTTTATATGGCTAAAAAACAGTCGTTGTAAACTGCGTAACCAATTTTAACATTCTTCAACTTAGAAAATAACTAATCAAACTGATGGAAGAAATTTTTTTGTATAGTCAAAATGAAACTTACCTCGTCACATAAACAACTTTTGAGGTACCTCTAGGCAAAAAGAATGAGACTAAACGTGGAGGTGACGGAATAGCATCATTTCCGCTATCATTGCAATTCCCCTTAAATGGACTATTTGGTTCAGGTGATGTTGTCATGCTTGATGGAAGCATATCTAATGTACGTCTCAAAGACATTTTCACCGGTTTAATAAGATTTATGTAAATGCGTAAAGTGCCAGCAAGTCGACATGAGTCATCCACCTTTGAAAGTAAGCAGAAAAAATAGAAAAATTATTCAAATTTTTCACACAAAGGAGTGAATTATTTGAATACAAATAGACGATGAATATATCTTTACTAAAAGAAAAAAGGGACACTAAAAACAGGTTGGAGAAGGTTTCAGATGTTTGACAACGGTCGCCTTCGTGTCATAGATCGTGCGTAGTGGTGCCACCTGTAAGTCAGGTATAGAGTTTTAGGCAGGAGTGGAAAGTCAGTTGGGCTGGGACATACGTTACGCATGCTTAGTCATCGTCTGCCTCGTCACACAATGTTAGCTGAAATAGATTCAGGCCGGAAAAAGACTCAGAGTGGTCAGACTAAAACATGGCATAAGAACATGAAGTGCTTAACTTCTGGTTTAAGCCATGTAGGGAAATGCAGACTAGCCCATTAGGGTCCGTGTGATAAGAGAAACCAGTGTTTGGAGACTCTAGGGGATATGGCTCAGAATAAATGTCAGAGGCACAGATGTATCCATAACATAATCGCTATACTGAATTCAGCATTTACTCATTTCACCTTCCTTTTTCTTTTACTGCTTTTGATAGATTTTTCATTTTTTCTTTCATCCTATTACCTTGTCACTTGGTTTGATGAAATGGAGTATGCCAACTTAGATCGTTACGTGGTAATGCTTAGCCCCATGTTGATATTGGTTGAGAGTATTGGAAAGTGGTTCCCCTCCCCCCTCAATTCGGAAACTGCACTGGTGTATGTTTTTCAAGGTCTCATGTGACTGGCAATTCATGTTGCCTGTACTCACTGACTGAAATTCAATGGTTGTCAATTTGGAATTCTAGCACTTCTTAGAATGCATATCACTTATTTATATTTTACAATTATGAAAATCATATGCATTAGGTTTTGTTTCCAAAGATGAGGTAATGACTGAACTGAGTACATGTGTATACATCAACCCAGTACATGTTTGTTATGTCCTAGACAATGAGTCACACTTGTTCTGCGAGGACTTATATTGCTATTCGGTTGTCTATGGCAAAGTAGATGGAGCAGCAGTAAACAATGAGGAGGAGATAAAGTAGAAGTTATTTGTGAAAGTAATTACATCCACTGCATAAACATCTTGAGAAAGAAGAATAAACAACTGATGTGAATAAATCTGAAGAATATTCAGTGTTCAATGACGGTCTCGACAATCTCTAGACAAATCTATTTTTAGTGAATAGTTCTCTTTTAAGCATACATTTTAACACATTGAAGAACAACAAACAATTTACAATAATGTTTCATTACAATTACATTATACACCATTAACTAACTTATTCAACAGTGTAAATAAGTAAAGATTTATAAACCAGTTTTTAGTAATATATAGAATGGATGATCACTAAGACGATAAAACATGTGAATAAAACCACTTCAGATTATTCAGTTTCTAATCACACCACCATGTAATTCTTTATTTTTTTATATTCGTTGAAGATTATATGCAGTGGAACTGAAATCTATGATCAGCAGCTGAACCTTATGGCTTATATATGATAGAGGAATGTACCAATGAATCTATAAACCTGCTTAGCTTAACCTCGTGACAATATTCACTAATATAGGAATACAGGTGAAGGAGAATCAGTCATAGTGGATTACAGAATAGAACGAAAACAAGATGGTGGTTTAGTAATGATATATAGTGGCTAGCAGTAGAATCCAGGATGCGCATTTCGTTCTATTTGAGGTTCGTCAGCTGAATGTACCAACCTCCCAGTAAGTGTTGTCCCCACCTGGATTCGAACTCCGGACCAATCACTTCAAACGCTAGAGCATTATCTAACAGACCACCGAGCCACGATAGCCACTTCTCGTGCAACAAGTATAATTTTAGTATAATTGCTTGTATTATACTGTCGTTGATCGGTCTGTATTGGTATGTGGGCTCCTGTGCGGATGTCTTAAAACTACTTGTGTTTTAATTATGGTAATGACAGTGGTCTAGTGGATAATACTCTGGTGTTTGAATTGATCGGTCCCGAGTTCGGATCCCAGTGGGAACAACATCAATCACTGGGAGGCAGGTACATCCAGCTAACGAGTCTCAAATATGACAAAATGCGCATCCTGGATTCAACTGCTAGCCACTGTCCATCTTTACTATAATTAAAACACAGGTAATATCGAGGCATCCACACAGGAGCCATATGCCGATAGAGGTCGATCAATTCGGTGCAATCAACGACGGTATAATACAACCACTTATAATAAGATAGTAGTTTGTTTAGATACTAGTATCTATAGCAAACCTTCACACTCGAAACGTTACCTAAGACTTCAAATCATCTCATCCTACGTCACTTATAGTTGGTTTGGCAAAACATCTCAGCAACGAGGCTAAAACTCTTACTCGGAAAACAGAAGATCTGAAACAAGAAATCAGATACATTAAGGACACCTTACTCATCAATCATCACCCTCCTAAATTAATTGATAAAACCCTTAATAATCGTAAGAAAAATATGACTCAGTTGAAAAACGTGATCATAATAATGACCATATTGAGAAGAGAGAATTCCAAACCTATGAGGTACTACCATGAATGATAGGGACTTCAGGAGCATTACGCAGGATTCTCAATAAGGCTGGCTGGGATTACAGTAGTATCTAAAACAACAAACTCACTCAGAATTAAGCTTTGTAGGTTAGAAAATCCTATTCATCCAATTAAGCAGAATAATTTAGTTCACCTAATCTCCTGCAATCATTGCGAACTCAAATACTACACGTCAAAATAGTCGACAAGGTTCAATTCGACTGGCTATCCACGCACAAAAGTCTGGCTAGATCAAAATTGGTAGATCCCAGGAAGCTAAGGAATTTAAAAAAAGGCTCAGTCACAGCCATGCATGCGATTGCATACAACCACACAATCAGATGGGATAGGGTGATAATCCTGAAAACTAACATAACAGGGTGGAGGGAGAGATTGATAACTGAATCTTCGTTTATCGAATCAACCAACACCCAGTACATGTCACAGGAATGACTCAGCACCTGCTCCGGATATATGGAAAATCCTACTACTCATGTCGCGGAGGGGGCGAGGGAATTAGGACTATATAAATCACGTCTCAAAGTTGCAATCTAGTAAATAATACTGTCCGACTGTGTAATATGTCTAATAAATCAATTGAAATGAAAAACCAGGTTCACTTCCAAATTCATTCATCCCCTATGTGTTAGAAGCAAAAAAACTACGAATAGGTGGATCAGTCAGAAGAGTTATATTTGTCCTAGAGTACAAATAATAGCTTGGCACTACAAAAAGAAACGTTTCTAGACAGATTATACAACCGAATGAGAACTAGAAAAAACAAAAAGGAGGTTAAATCGAAGATAGTCATCTTTTCAACGATTCATTTTCATAGATGTACCACTTAGAAATATAATGTTCCAAACAAGTTTCCGGTCAAATCGACTGATGTATACAGATAATGAAATGAGGCTAAGTAACACAAGAAATGGTCTCAAAAGTTGAACAAAAATGTATTGAACAGTAGAACTTGGTATCTAGCATCATACCTAAATAAGTAAAATACAAAAATATAGCATAAACAGAGGTGCAGAGTATCTGTTTAAGGCCACAGAGAAGAGAATGTTTGCACATGTTTCTTTTGAATACACAACTGAAACTTGAAGCTACGAATTACTAAAGCTTCGGCTGTATGTGTTTTGTGTTAACTCTTTCTGACAGACTGGTCGTACCTTGAATGAGATTTCCAGAGGCGCCAGATATCCAGAGTCTACGAGGTGTTCAACGATAGAACCAGGTGTAGTTTTGTGCTCATCATCCAGCAATCAGGCTGGGCAATGTCCACGAATGCGTTTTGGCAAGTAGCCACAAAACACGGCTGATGTACTAAACTCCACAACGGTGTATGAACTTGTAAATGCACACTGATGAGGTTAAGTACATCAATTTGTCTTTCACGAACTGACGAATTGGCCACTTACAATGAGAACTCAAAACTGAAGGTCAGAATTAACTTCATGTTTGTGAAGTAAATATATAAAATGAGGAAAAACATGTAGTTTATACGGGAATAACTCTAAAGGTCATTCTAGACTCTAATGAAATAACGGATTAGGTTTCTTCATTTTATGGAAAAAAACCCACCTGACTATCCGAAATAAAAAAAACCTAATTGAGTATCGCAGCCGTTGCTGAAGTGACTTTTAGAAACACTCTCTATACAAACTAAATAGCTCATAAAACTGCAACCATGTAAAAAATGTTACGTTTTAAAAATTATCATCCCTAGAACAGATACAAAATCAGAAGTATATCAGACACTTATAGTTATGAATACAATAAACAGTTCATAATTCTAAAAATTTATGAAAATTTGAACATTTCAAAAAGATTTCTTTCATTATAGACTAACAGTATACAGAAGGTGACCTAAACAAAACAAATTCTTGTGGTTAATTGACTAGTTAACTGAAAGATTAAACGTTGAGCATGGTATAAAACACACCTAACAAAAATGAAACATTTAAAACTCAAACTAACAACTTCATGAAATGAAATGCAACTTAGAAACTATGTGAGCGTTTATGTATGTTAATTTACTAGGTAATAAGCCATACTTACTGTATGAAGGAATACGGTTCGAACCCTTGACCTAGTGATTGAAAAAAGAAAGGTCAAACTAATCGGCCTCAACCTCTTCATATATTACGACGGATAGATAAAAATGACTTTTGAATTGTACACAAAATTATATCGTCTCAGGCTGTGATTTATTTCCCAATAGTACATATACATCAAGAATATCAAAGGAAGGCGAAAAGAATATCCAAAACTAACTGTTAGTAGAATATGTTTAAGTGTTACACAAGTAAATGTTGAAATGATGGATAAGCTTTGTAGCTCACGATGTGGATGATGGTGTGCTTTGGTGTTCTCTGAGCTTTGATATTTTATCGTGGATGTTTCATCACTGAGTCTGTCATAGATAACACAT